CCTGGCCTGTGCTGGGTGCATTGGGTAGTGCGCCAAGCGCAGGAGAGCCTTGTGCTCTCTGGCTAAGTCCCGCTGAGCGCGAGCATGCTTGCGCTGGGCGCGCTGGCCCCCTAGGGCTCTCTGGCTGTACTGCGCTGACCGCGACTACGAGGGCCCCGGGCATGGAGATGAGATATTAATTGTATTGTATTATGCTGATCTATGTAGCCAAGCTCGCTAAGCACCTTGATGAGTGCGTTAGGCGCGCTTGAGATGTAGGTCTCTGGTTGGCCCTCGCTGGGCGCGATTTGGACCGTGCTAGGCGCGATATCAGTTGTACCTTGATTTTTGACTCTTGAGGCTGCGTTGAGCGCGGCCCTTACCGCGCTGGGCGTGAGACTCCTTGGGAGTCTCTGCCTTGTGGGCGCTGGGCGCAATTTGAGTTGCGCTGGGCACGAGACCAAGGGGTGGTCTCTGCCTTCCCCGCGCTGAGCGCTGGGTTAGGTACGCCGGGCATAGGAGACTCCTTGGAGTCTCTGCCTGGCCTGCGCTGGGCGCATTGGGTAGTGCGCCAAGCGCAGGCGAGCCTTGTGCTCTCTGGCTAAGTCCCGCTGAGCGCGAGCATGCTTGCGCTGGGCAATATTTTACATAATTTAAACTATTTTTTTATTTTACATAATTTACAATAAATAAATATTTCTGACCACTAGGTGTGGCGGTTAGCGTTGTATTTTGTTTTGGCACTCCAACCCTAGTCGGAGTAGGACTTTGTATATATTTATATTCTAGAACCTATACTTATATACTCGTTCTTTCTGCCTAGTGTTTCCGGTGTACATTGGTTTGTGTAGGACCTGGCGGGTCGTTACACTTTAGTGGTATCAGAGCGAGTCGAGTCTAGTTGACACTCTTTGGGGGTGGTTCCTTTAGGCTTTTGTTGTGCTGAACTCTGCGTTGTGCTGTTTTGTTGAGTTGTTTGTTGTGTTGATTGTTGTGATGTTTTGTTGTGCTGTTGAGTGTTGTTTGGTTTAGATATTGTATACTAAAAGTGTTGTTGCTTTTGTAGACAATGTCTAGAGCCAACGAACAGATAGCCCGGGCCATGGAGATGATGGTCATGGCTATGCAACAGCAAAATGCCTATTTTGCTAGGATGGAGGCGGAGAGAGCTGCAGCTGGTGCAGCAAGACCCATTGGGTCGCAGGAGAGCCGGGACCTGGCTGAGTTCCAGAAGTGCCATCCTCCGCAGTTCAAGGGAGAGGCAAATCCAGAGGTAGCTGACCACTGGATTTGTGAACTTGAGAAGATCTTCACCGTGCTGGGATGTTCTCAAGAGAGGAGGCTAGCATACGCGGTGTACATGCTTATTGTTGTTTTGGCACTCCAACCCTAGTCGGAGTAGGACTTTGTATATATTTATATTCTAGAACCTATACTTATATACTCGTTCTTTCTGCCTAGTGTTTCCGGTGTACATTGGTTTGTGTAGGACCTGGCGGGTCGTTACACTTTAGTGGTATCAGAGCGAGTCGAGTCTAGTTGACACTCTTTGGGGGTGGTTCCTTTAGGCTTTTGTTGTGCTGAACTCTGCGTTGTGCTGTTTTGTTGAGTTGTTTGTTGTGTTGATTGTTGTGATGTTTTGTTGTGCTGTTGAGTGTTGTTTGGTTTAGATATTGTATACTAAAAGTGTTGTTGCTTTTGTAGACAATGTCTAGAGCCAACGAACAGATAGCCCGGGCCATGGAGATGATGGTCATGGCTATGCAACAGCAAAATGCCTATTTTGCTAGGATGGAGGCGGAGAGAGCTGCAGCTGGTGCAGCAAGACCCATTGGGTCGCAGGAGAGCCGGGACCTGGCTGAGTTCCAGAAGTGCCATCCTCCGCAGTTCAAGGGAGAGGCAAATCCAGAGGTAGCTGACCACTGGATTTGTGAACTTGAGAAGATCTTCACCGTGCTGGGATGTTCTCAAGAGAGGAGGCTAGCATACGCGGTGTACATGCTTATTGGAGAAGCCGAGCACTGGTGGAGAGGTACCCATTATATGCTGACTGCCAGAGGGGTGGTTGTGGACTGGGATTGCTTCAGGCGGATGTTCTTGGAGAAGTACTTCCCTGAGAGTGTAAGACATGCCAAGGAAGCTAAGTTCATGCGCTTACACCAAGGAAGGATGACCGTTTCTGAATATGCGATGAAATTCAAGCACCTAGCTCGTTTTTATTCGCAAGGCATCGCCGAGGCTTGGAAGTGTCAGAAGTTTGCTGAGGGATTGAAATATGATCTGAAGAGGGTGGTGGTGCCTATGGCCATCACTGAATTTCCAGCCTTGGTGGAGAAGGCGAAGGTGATTGAGCGGTTGGAAGGTGGTAGCCGTGGGGTGAAGACTGTTGAGGGGCCATCCGGGTCCAAGAAAGGAGGGAGCCAGAGGAAGCCATATGATAGGCCCCAACTACATCAAGGGGGTAATGATTTTGTACCAGAGTGGTTTTGGAGCAAATTACAGTCTTTAAATGAGCTGAATATGTCTTGCAACAGCCTCAAAGGTACAATTCCAAATTTACCAATCAAGCTTACTGATTATAATGTTATAATTCTAGGATCAAATCAACTTGAAGGTGAAATTCCAACTTTTTTATCACAAGCTTTTGCATTGGATCTATCCAAAAATAAGATTTCGGATTTAAATTCATTCTTTTGCACGAAAAGCGCAACCACAGCTATGCTTACTTTGGATTTATCAAATAATCAAATAACGGGACAACTGCCCAACTGTTGGAAACATCTAAAAAATTCATTAGAATATCTTGATTTAAGCAATAATAAATTGTCAGGGAAGATTCCAAAGTCCATCGGTACTCTTGTTAATTTGCAAGCTTTGGTCTTACGAAACAACAGCTTAACTGGAGGCCTACCATTCACATTGAAGAACTGCTCTGATTTAGACATATTAGACGTGAGTGAAAACTTTTTGTTTGGTCCAATACCCTCCTGGATAGGAGAAAATCTTCAAGAATTGAAAATCTTGAGCTTGAGAGTAAATCGCTTCTTCAGAAGTGTTCCAGTAAACCTATGTTATTTGAGCCAAATTCATTTCTTGGACCTTTCAAGGAATAATTTGACTGGAAGAATCCCTACATGTCTGGGGAATTTTACTGCAATGATGGAAAGGGAAAGACCACATAAATTTAGTATGTTTCGAAAAATAACTTCTACAGCTGCATCTCCTAATATTTACGACTCTAACGTGTTATTCACGTGGAAAGGTCAGGATTATGTGTTTCGGAATCCCGAGTTTCTTTTAAAAAGCATTGATCTCTCAAGTAATGATTTAATGGGTGCAATACCAAAAGAGATTGGATATTTAGTTGGATTGGTTTCTTTGAATCTATCAAGAAACAAATTAGATGGAGAAATTCCTACTGAGATCGAGAATTTAAGTTGGCTAGAATTTCTGGACTTGTCAAGAAACAAATTCTCTGGCAAAATTCCATTTAATCTTTCCAAAATTGATAGGCTTGGTGTGTTAGACTTATCCAACAATGATCTCAGTGGAAGAATCCCATGGGAAGGACATTTGGAAACATTTGATGCCTCTTGGTTTGAAGGAAATCTTGATCTTTGCGGTAAACCACTCAACAAAAGCTGCCTTGGAGACAAGACAACAGCAAAGCCTGAAGAACCAGCAGTCCATGGTGAAGAAGATAAATCAGTTTTCAATGAAGCATTATACATGAGTTTGGGGTTAGGATTCTTTGCAGGCTTTTGGGGATTATTAGGGCCAATAATACTTTGGAAACCATGGAGAATTGCTTATCTGAGGTTCTTAAACAGAGTGACAGACTATGTACTTGTAACAGTTGAACTGAATATAGCCAAGTGTTGTAGATGGGTGGAAAGCTAGCACTAGCAGGTACGAAACTCCCTTAACTTCTCTCCTCTATTAGTTAAAAAATAAATCATTAACTCCTTTTGACGTGGAATGGGAGAATAATTTTCAATTGTTCATGTTTGCATGAATTTGATAGTGTTAGAATTTACTTATTACATTCTTTAGTCATTCTATTGTTGGTTCCAACCTGGACATTTTTGCTTTCATCAACTCCCTTGTTTCTTTACTTCGTGCATTTGCAAATGACTGCTATTTTTCCAAAAAAAAAAAATGATTACTTTTGTTGCTGTAAAGGATTTATAGATGGTGTTCTGTTTAGAGAAATTTTCTTGTTTTCAGATGACATCTCTAATTTTTAAACCTTGTAATGGTTACAGTACTTATGTACATTTTTGTACTCCAATGGCTAGTAAAGATTTTTAGTTTAATTTATTTTGTTACTAAAACTTAGTCTTCAATTTTTCTCCATCAGGATTAATATATGTAATCTGAATGATATTACAAAACTTGCAGTTTGTAGCAGATTAGCTTCAATCTGGGATGAAAGCTTCATGGATTGTTAAATGTGTAAGATATATAGTATTGATGTTTCTAGTGTAATGTAATGTAAAATTGTGGTTTGCAGATTTGATTTTTTTTCTTCTTTTTTTTTGTATGATCTCTTTGTAATGTAATGTTATTTTATTTTATTTTTAAGTCATGACTATCGATTCCTACGTATTAAACAAGAATTTTTAATTTGTGTGAGAGATTTTTTAGAGACTTCTTCAGTGAAAGAATTTGTAGAAATTTTCTTAATTTCTTATCTGATTCAGTTTTTATTTATCATAATTATTTATTAAAATAATATTAATATTTTAAAATAAATTTTTAATAAATAAGATAACTTTTTTGTTAGGATAAAAATTTATTATAAATTCAATATATTATATGTTTGTAAAATATTTATTATTTTTAATAAAATTTTTAATAAATAACATAATTTATTATATGTTCGTAAAATATTTATGTAAATCTTTATCCATTTATTAATATATTATACTATTTATTCATTTTTTTAAATGACAAAAGATTAATTTTATCCTTCTATTTTAATTTTTTTTTAAAAAAAAGTTAAAATGTTTCATTATAGCTAAAGTCATTTAGTAGATAATTAAGTTTGTGAGAGTTTTAGAAAAATCATTAAAAGTAAGTTAATATGGCTAATAACATTTTTTGTTATAATTTTTTTCTAATTCATTTTACTTTTATTTTATGAATTTTAAAAAAATTATCAAATGAAATGTGCAGTATGTTTGTGCCAACAACCATGTGGTAGATATACAAAATGACAATTCACCATAAAAAAATGACAATTTGATTTGGCATCACTCTGACTATACAAGGAATTATCGATCCCTTGTGGCGGAATGACTATGACCTATAATCAATGTGGAAAATAGCTGAGAAAGCATTGATGTGTGTTTAGCCCCATGGGCATATGCAGCCATTAATTTCAGAAGTTCTAAAGGAGATCCAAGATGCAACATCTATAGAGAGACAGGCAGAATCATTAAGAGAAGGCAATTCAGATGATGTCAAAAAATTCTTTTCATTCTTCCGTGAACTTGGGTTCGATGGATCTTGGTGGAGCTGAGAGTTACCTGTCTATTGATGATTCAATTACGCAGCCAACAAGAAGATAGATCTCTCTTGTAAACAAAAGCAAGTTTTCGTTTTTCCTTTTCCTCTCACCTGACCACACCATATAGACAAAGTCCCATTTTAAATCAATGATAAAATGTAAAAACATAATGAGAAATGAGCATGCAACATATTCATAAAAATATTTGCAATTATTGAAAACCAGCCAACTATTTTTGAATAATAAAATGGAACCACAAAGGCACTTACCAATCTTCTAGTTTTTCCTTTGTCGATGAACTTAGGTAAGAGCTTGGTGGTGGCCGACCCCACTTGCGAGTCTGTTGGCGCTTGCAATACGCCCTCTCCCATGCAGTGGTCAAGTAGGACGAGCTTATCCTCTTGCACATCGAGAACCCTACCTCCTGGCACACCACCATTTCCACCTTCCTCAAGATGCCTTCCTTAGGCACCTTTGTCACCGCCTCCTTCGACCTTGGAGGCCCTAGCCGCCGAAGGGGATGGCGTCAATTTTCTAGAAGAGATGAAGCACGCTTGCAAAATCTCCCAACCAAAGATGAAGGTCCGCACCATGAGGGTGGAGACCGATGACAGAGATAGGGCCTCCACCATTCTCTCTTATAGAAAAACCTACGACTTTGAGCTCACATTTTCGGACAGCTCCTCCAAGAGCATTTGTGGATTTGGAGCACCACCATGTTTTCGGAGAGCTACGACCGTTTGTGGATTTGGAACACTTACAACTAGGGTTTTCATGAGTCGAAGGTCAGCACCAAAAAAGCTCGTGAGAGTGTTGTGTCGAGAAGGCTGTTGGTCTTCTGGGCAAGCACACAAGTCTCTGTATTATAATTTAAAAGGTTGTCGAACCTCAGAGACTTGTGAGATAAGCTATGATTTCTATTATACTAATTGATGCTTAGAAATGTAAAACTTGGGTAATTACACATGTTCAAAGTTGAAATGGATGATTGATTAAATTCAAGTAGCTAAAGATAATTTAACTTGCGGAAAAACAAATATAAGAAACAGTTGGGATTAGACTTCATCAATCTCCCTCCTATGCATTCCTATTGATTCTTTCTAAAGATTCCATTACTCGTTGCCATTGAGCTCTCTAAATTCATTGAAACCCAATCCCTTGGGATAGAAATTCTAAGATATTTAACTCAATGAATGATTCCTCACTTCATTCAATTCAATATCCCGCATTAAGAATTAGAACTTGTTGCAACTATTAATTTCAAGACCATCCCTGACTCTCAAAACTAATAGGTGATTCGTTCCAAATCTAGAGTTAGAAAACGTTTCCCAACCAAATTCTAAACTCAAAATCATAGATAAGTGATCAGTTTATCAAAGCATTAAGAACAGAAACAAATCACTGACAAAGAGTAACAGATGATATATATATGAATCAAAGAGGAATACAAAGGAGCTTGATGATTACATCAATCCCAACCCTAAGGCTTAGCTATCCATAGTACAAGAAATCACCCAAATACAAGAGGAAAGGTAGAAGAAGAAAGGAATCCTTCGAAGAATCATGTCCCCACGAGCTCCCAAGTGTTCTATTTCTCCCCTTTCTCTGTTTTCTCTGTTCGTACCGTTCCAGATGATCGTCCTTTCTCTCTCCTCTGCCCTTATATATGTGAAAATTAAAACAGAGTGAATAGGAAAGAGACGAATTAGCTCAGCGCCTTGAAACGGCTGAGCGGTTTGAAGAACCCTTCACCATGAAGTAACCTAAAGGGCTGAGCCCCTTGGATCCGCTGAGCGCCTTAGAATCCTTCACTGCTAAGCATTCAAAAGGGTTGGGCGCCGCAGATCTGCTGAGTGCCTACGAGGCAGAGAACATTATTTTTGTTGGACCAAATCCGCTCAGCGGATGGTAGTGGCTGAACGCCTTGGAGGCAGATAGCACTCCTTCTCTTCCAGGGCCAAATCCGCTGAGCGCCTTGGAGTGGCTGAGCGCCTCTCCTTGGTTGCATTTGTTGAGCTCTCTGGCTTGAATCCGTTAGCGCTTTTGAGTGGCTGAGCCATTTTCCTTCAAATTTCAAAACCTACAAAATAAACACAAAATTGGATCAAAAAGCTTCATCAATCCTTGTACTAACATAAATCAAAAATCCCTCTTTGATTCAAAGTATATAGACCAAAATTTATATCAATATGTACAAAAACTATGCTAGATAAGTGTCTCAAATGCATATTTAATCATGCGTATTAGTAAGGCACTTATCAAGCTACCCCTAACTTAGAAATTTGTTTGTCTTCAAACAAAAGGTCTTAATTGAGAGTATAATATAACTAACTTATCAATCCAGTGAATACTAAAAGTTTCACCCAAAAAATATGTTAATGCATTCACATGATTTCAAAGATTCCAATGAGGACTTGTTTGCAAAATCCAGTGAGTACATGTTACTACAAATGATGCCCACGTAATAACAAAAATTATGAACATCAAGCATACTCAAGGGAAACATCCAATCATCTTCCATTGTTTTCAATTAAAGGCACTAAAATTTCGCTCACAATTGTGTACCTCTCAATGATATGTTGTGAAGGGTGAGTGTTTCTCTCATTTCATGCACCAAAACAGGCTAAGTATGATTTGTTACCCATCTCCCATAAGTCTATTGTTAAAACTAAGCATAGATCACTAAGGACTTAAGAGGGTTGTAATGTGACCTGACTATTAGAGATTTGGTTTTTCTTTGGGAATCTAAAGGCCTGTTTGACAAGAGACATTCTCACTCATATGGGTTAATACCAAATTCTTGCACTTGCTTGAATTCTCTTGACTCTTATGTCTCATCCTTCTTTTGATTGAATTTACTGGTTCCTTCTCTTTTAGAATATTACACAAATTGATGAAATGGTAACAAGGAACCTTGATTTTAACTTTTTTTTTTTTAGAGTAATAATATAATATATATATATATATATATACACAGAGAACAACACCTTGCCTGTACAGTTCTAACCACATGAATACTGCATACATTTACCCCCAACTTGGCTCAAACCCACTTGTTTCATGAGAATGTCTCTTACCAACAAGGCTAAGGACAATCATGGTTTTTCTTTGTAAGCTTAGGGGTTCTGTTTAGGGTCAAATTTGATTTCTCAAGGGACAATGTAATTCATGGGTTGGCTTTTTGGCTACTGGCTAAATAAAACAACTACCTCAGTGAATTCCATGCATAGCTTAACTGTAACTCATGGGAGACTCAAACAAAACTGACCGCCTGAATCAATGATGACTCTCAAAGATTGAATTTTACTGTTTGGCCCACTCACTCACACGGTTTGGTTAAGTGCCCTAGACATCAACAACTTCAGACTCATTTCAATTTCACTTGAACATACTTGAAGCACACAATTAAAGTAAAAAATGTACAACCATTTGTGCAACAATGTAGATTTCCATATTAGAAAACATTGTTCATTGAAAACTTGAATCATGAAATTGCTCCTTCTAGAAAAATTGTCAGTTGAGTTCCCAAAAAGAATTTTGTGTTTTTTTTATATACGTTAATAATACTGTTGTCTAAAAAGTACTTCCCAAGTGAAAAGTCATCAAACCAAAGCAGGAAATTAAAGTCCAATCAACTAATGTAACCCAAAATAAACTGCAACTCAAAGTACTGAAAATAAATGAAATGAACTGCTAAAAATACTGTAAAATAACACAATAAACTGCAAAAGAACACTCAGGTGTCCTCCTCATCGTCATCGTCTCCTTCTTCAACACCCTCTCTCTGCACATCCTCGCCTTTTCATCTTCATCTTCAGCTCCAACTTCTTGCTCCGGCTGCTCCTCCTCTAGTTGTGGCTGCTGCTCATCCTCACCTCCCTCAAAGTGTGGATTGTCCCCAGGCCAGTAGAATTGTTGTTGGAAGGTCTCTAGAGATGGCCATTAGAATGGAGGGCCTCCATGAAACTGCTGCTGATGAGCATGGTACATACTAGTGTTGAAAGACATCAATGCCAAATGATTTGTCAGATTTTGTTACTCAATATGGTGAAAATGAGCAGCCATGAATTTCTGGCCAGCTACCTGAGAGAAGAGGAAGATCCCTGCCATGGCCTCTGAGGTCTAGGTTGTGAAGCATCACCTTGCTGCTCACTCTTACAATGGATCTTGATATATGCAACATTAGTTGGAGGCCAGAGAGATTTGTTCAGATTACTCAGCAGACGAGAGCCATTGAATAGACACAACCCTGTAATCAAACCTGGAAATCCTAGGGGTTTAGAAACACCTGTCAAAGAAGGAGTAGATAGGACAGTCTTGTGTATTTCATCTAAGATGATTGCAGCTATGTCCACACCAGTCTTTTGCAAAACAGAGTAAAGAAGTGTTTCCCTGGGCATGTTCAAATCAGAGATGTGTGTAATGCAATACACATTACAGTATAGGAAGTTCTGCCAAATGCGTGTAGTGGTGGTCAGATTCTTGCGAAGAAATGAAACTGGGTTTCCTGTTACTCCCACTGTGTAAGTACAGCCCGGTAAACATAAAAGCTTGGCCATCTTGTCAGCATTAAAAGCACGGGCCTTCTTCAATCGGCCATACTCATCTAGGCCATCACCTCCTAGACTATAAGGGTTACCCAGGTACTCATTAATGGCATCCCTGGAGTAGCTGACCATAGCTCCTCTCACCCAGCTATTTCTGATCTTATCAGTCCTCTGGAGCGGGTAAACATTGGCATAAAACTCCTTAATGATGTCTTCATGATATTTCTTCTCAGGAGTGGCCAATTTGTTCCATTTCCTTCTAGTCAGCTCTCCTTGAAATTCCATATACTCTCCTGCTTCTAACTCTACCCTCCTTTCAGCAATTATTTGTCGAGACTCCAATTCTGTATACCGTTGCTGCTTTGATTTAGTCATAAATCTCTGTCTGTCCAAACGGATTGGAGCCACAGGTGGGGCAGTAGGTTCATCATTGTGAGAATCATGCGGAGGGGGATTTGAGGAAGCGGCCCCCTTTCGTTTCTTGCTAGCAGGGACTTCATGGGTAGATCTTGTCTTGCCCATCTGCAATATGTTCAAATAAAAATAAGAAACAGCAAGATCAATCTGTTAGATCAACTTTAAGTAATTAATTCAGCAGGGTACAAAATGGCTCAGCCCCTGGAAAGGGCTGAGCGTCTTGAATCAATAGGACTTTCTGCCTCCAATCCGCTCAGCGCCTCAGAATCGCTGAGCGCCTTGAGAAATAAGGGTTTCTGCCCTTAATTCGCTCAGCGCTGAGCGCTTTTACTCAGAATTTGAAAACTGTCACTTTTGAGCTTGAAACCCTACAATCCATGAAACCTTTTCACGAAAAACAGTTTAGGCTTAAAATGGAATGACATTAAAAATTAAAACCCTAAACATGTAATGCAGAAATTCATGAACCCTAAACACGTAATCCATGAACCCTAATGCAGAAATTCAAACCCTAAACATGTATGATTGAAAACAAACCACTTAGATGACAGAATTGAGAACAGAACAAAAATTAAACCCTAACCAGAATAGAGAAGATAAGAAAATAATTACCCATCAAGGCTATGGACTGACGCACAAGAAGGAGTGATTAGAGATACCTGGAATATGGAGTGATGTTGTATGCACGAAGAAGAAAAAGGAAGCAATGTGTAACGTGAGTGAGAGCAGTGTGAATGAGAGTCTCAATGAAGTTTTCTGAATGTGAAATGAAAAGAGCAGTTAGATTAAAAAGAATTGATCTTTCAACTTCTGAGAAAATGGGCTTTAAGTTTTACATGGACCCAAACCCGAGATTCATCCGCTCAGCGCTTGAGAAGCACTGAGCACTTTAGCTCCAGAGAGCTTGCCAATTCTAGGCGCTGGGCGCCCCAAATGCGCTGAGCCATTTAGCTCCAGAGAGAACTACTCTCACAAGGTGCTGAGCCATTAGGAAGCGCTAAGCGCTTAGGCTCCAGAGACTTTCCAAATTTTTTATCACCCCAGGCGCTCAGCCACTCAGAAGCGCTGAGCGCCTTGCTTCCAGAGACCCGTCTTTGAAAATTTTCATTTGAGGCACTGGGCCACTCAGAGGCGCCGAGCGCCTGGACCCTAGAGGCTCCTCTGTTTTGCTTACTGATATGAGGGGCTGAGCCATTGGGTCTTGAAGAAGAAATCCTTTTATTCCTGATATGGCTAAGTTTGACCCCAATTTCCCTAGAATTCTTCTTCTACACTCATATGCAACAAGCACACATTGGACATAAAAGGAGAATGCATAATATTAAGCAAGCATATGAACAAGTTATCCTAAGTATTGAATCCTAAACTCACTCTCTAAAACATCAACACATATCTGAAACTAAACAAGCAAATACTAAATAACCATAACCAATTTCAAAACATGTTGGCTGGGTTGCCTCCCAGAAAGCGCTTCTTTATTGTCATTAGCTTGACACTTCCTTAAGTCATGGATCATTGAGATGAACAACAGTGGTAAGTTTCTCAACCTCACCACCCAAGTATGGCTTAATTCTCTGACCATTCACCATCCAAGATCTCCCAGAATTTGGCTCTTCCAACTCCACTACCCCATATGGCTTAACTGATTTGATCACAAAGGGGCCTGACCATTTGGACTTGAGCTTTCCAGGGAATAATCTCAACCTGGAATTGAACAACAACACTTGTTGGCCTGGTTGGAAGTTTCTCTGGACAATCTTCCTGTCATGGTAAGACTTCACTTTGCTCTTATAGATCCGGGAAGATTCATAAGCCTGTAACCACATTTCTTCAAGCTCATGTAGCTGGACCTTTCTCTTTTCACCCGCAGCCTTCAAATCAAAATTTAATGCTTTCAAAGCCCAATAGGCCTTATGTTCCAACTCAACTGGGAGATGATAGGCCTTCCCATATACAAGCTGAAACGGAGAGAGTCCAATTGGAGTCTTATATGTTGTCCTGTAAGCCCACAGTGTATCATCCAATTTCAAAGCCCAATCTTTCCTTGAGCTGGCTACAGTCTTTTCTAAAATTCTCTTCAACTCCCTATTGGAGACCTCTGCATGTCCATTTGTTTGAGGATGGTAAGGTGTAGCTACCTTGTGTCTCACACCATAATTCTCTAACACCTTTTTCAGCTATGTATTGCAGAAATAAGAACAACCATCGCTAATGACCACTCTCGATGTTCCAAACCTGGTACAGATGTTCTTCTTTAAAAACTTAATCACCGTACGTGCATCAGCCTTCTGAGTTGCCATTGCTTCTACCCATTTAGAAACATAGTCCACAGTAACTAGAATGTACTCATTAGAATAAGAAGATGGAAGTGGTCCTACAAAGTCAATTCCCCAGCAGTCAAAAACTTTAACTTCAAGAATATTTTGCAAGGGCAGCTCATGTCTTTTGGAAATTCCTCCAGTTCTCTGACACTTATCACAATTCTTGCAGTGTTCATGAGAATCCTTAAAAATAGTAGGCCAGTAGAATCCAGACTGGAGAATCTTTGCTGCTGTGCGATCTCCATTGTAGTGACCTCCATAATTATAAGGCGAATTGTGGCAGTGCCCCAAGATATCCTTAACCTCAGCACCTGAAACACATCTTCTCAACAAACCATCAGCACCAATCTTAAATAAATAAGGATCATCCCACACATAGTAAGTGGAATCCTTGAAGAATTTATTTCTCTGCTGCCAATTTAGATCTTCTGGAATAACTCCGGCTACTTTAAAATTTGCCATATCGGTGTAGACACCCAATTTCGTCCGGGGGGCACACAAACAAGTCTTGTTAATTTGCAAGCTTTGGTCTTACGAAACAACAGCTTAACTGGAGGCCTACCATTCACATTGAAGAACTGCTCTAATTTAGACATATTAGACGTGAGTGAAAACTTTTTGTTTGGTCCAATACCCTCCTGGATAGGAGAAAATCTTCAAGAATTGAAAATCTTGAGCTTGAGAGTAAATCGCTTCTTCAGAAGTGTTCCAGTAAACCTATGTTATTTGAGCCAAATTCATTTCTTGGACCTTTCAAGGAATAATTTGACTGGAAGAATCCCTACATGTCTGGGGAATTTTACTGCAATGATGGAAAGGGAAAGACCACATAAATTTAGTATGTTTCGAAAAATAACTTCTACAGCTGCATCTCCTAATATTTACGACTCTAACGTGTTATTCACGTGGAAAGGTCAGGATTATGTGTTTCGGAATCCCGAGTTTCTTTTAAAAAGCATTGATCTCTCAAGTAATGATTTAATGGGTGCAATACCAAAAGAGATTGGATATTTAGTTGGATTGGTTTCTTTGAATCTATCAAGAAACAAATTAGATGGAGAAATTCCTACTGAGATCGAGAATTTAAGTTGGCTAGAATTTCTGGACTTGTCAAGAAACAAATTCTCTGGCAAAATTCCATTTAATCTTTCCAAAATTGATAGGCTTGGTGTGTTAGACTTATCCAACAATGATCTCAGTGGAAGAATCCCATGGGAAGTCCAAAGTCCATCGGTACTCTTGTTAATTTGCAAGCTTTGGTCTTACGAAACAACAGCTTAACTGGAGGCCTACCATTCACATTGAAGAACTGCTCTAATTTAGACATATTAGACGTGAGTGAAAACTTTTTGTTTGGTCCAATACCCTCCTGGATAGGAGAAAATCTTCAAGAATTGAAAATCTTGAGCTTGAGAGTAAATCGCTTCTTCAGAAGTGTTCCAGTAAACCTATGTTATTTGAGCCAAATTCATTTCTTGGACCTTTCAAGGAATAATTTGACTGGAAGAATCCCTACATGTCTGGGGAATTTTACTGCAATGATGGAAAGGGAAAGACCACATAAATTTAGTATGTTTCGAAAAATAACTTCTACAGCTGCATCTCCTAATATTTACGACTCTAACGTGTTATTCACGTGGAAAGGTCAGGATTATGTGTTTCGGAATCCCGAGTTTCTTTTAAAAAGCATTGATCTCTCAAGTAATGATTTAATGGGTGCAATACCAAAAGAGATTGGATATTTAGTTGGATTGGTTTCTTTGAATCTATCAAGAAACAAATTAGATGGAGAAATTCCTACTGAGATCGAGAATTTAAGTTGGCTAGAATTTCTGGACTTGTCAAGAAACAAATTCTCTGGCAAAATTCCATTTAATCTTTCCAAAATTGATAGGCTTGGTGTGTTAGACTTATCCAACAATGATCTCAGTGGAAGAATCCCATGGGAAGGACATTTGGAAACATTTGATGCCTCTTGGTTTGAAGGAAATCTTGATCTTTGCGGTAAACCACTCAACAAAAGCTGCCTTGGAGACAAGACAACAGCAAAGCCTGAAGAACCAGCAGTCCATGGTGAAGAAGATAAATCAGTTTTCAATGAAGCATTATACATGAGTTTGGGGTTAGGATTCTTTGCAGGCTTTTGGGGATTATTAGGGCCAATAATACTTTGGAAACCATGGAGAATTGCTTATCTGAGGTTCTTAAACAGAGTGACAGACTATGTACTTGTAACAGTTGAACTGAATATAGCCAAGTGTTGTAGATGGGTGGAAAGCTAGCACTAGCAGGTACGAAACTCCCTTAACTTCTCTCCTCTATTAGTTAAAAAATAAATCATTAACTCCTTTTGACGTGGAATGGGAGAATAATTTTCAATTGTTCATGTTTGCATGAATTTGATAGTGTTAGAATTTACTTATTACATTCTTTAGTCATTCTATTGCTGATTCCAAGATGTTCTGTTTTACTTCATCATTACACATACATTTTTGCTTTCATCAACTCCCTTGTTTCTTTACTTCGTGCATTTGCAAATGACTGCTATTTTTCCAAAAAAAAAAAATGATTACTTTTGTTGCTGTAAAGGATTTATAGATGGTGTTCTGTTTAGAGAAATTTTCTTGTTTTCAGATGACATCTCTAATTTTTAAACCTTGTAATGGTTACAGTACTTATGTACATTTTTGTACTCCAATGGCTAGTAAAGATTTTTAGTTTAATTTATTTTGTTACTAAAACTTAGTCTTCAATTTTTCTCCATCAGGATTAATATATGTAATCTGAATGATATTACAAAACTTGCAGTTTGTAGCAGATTAGCTTCAATCTGGGATGAAAGCTTCATGGATTGTTAAATGTGTAAGATATATAGTATTGATGTTTCTAGTGTAATGTAATGTAAAATTGTGGTTTGCAGATTTGATTTTTTTTCTTCTTTTTTTTTGTATGATCTCTTTGTAATGTAATGTTATTTTATTTTATTTTTAAGTCATGACTATCGATTCCTACGTATTAAACAAGAATTTTTAATTTGTGTGAGAGATTTTTTAGAGACTTCTTCAGTGAAAGAATTTGTAGAAATTTTCTTAATTTCTTATCTGATTCAGTTTTTATTTATCATAATTATTTATTAAAATAATATTAATATTTTAAAATAAATTTTTAATAAATAAGATAACTTTTTTGTTAGGATAAAAATTTATTATAAATTCAATATATTATATGTTTGTAAAATATTTATTATTTTTAATAAAATTTTTAATAAATAACATAATTTATTATATGTTTGTAAAATATTTATGTAAATCTTTATCCATTTATTAATATATTATACTATTTATTCATTTTTTTAAATGACAGATTAATTTTATCCTTCCATTTTATATTTAAAAAAAAAGTTAAAATGTTTCATTATATAGCTAAAGTCATTTAGTAGATAATTAAGTTTGTGAGAGTTTTAGAAAAATCATTAAAAGTAAGTTAATATGGCTAATAACATTTTTTGTTATAATTTTTTTCTAATTCATTTTACTTTTATTTTATTAATTTTAAAAAATTATCAAATGAAATGTGCAGTATGTTTGTGCCAACAACCATGTGGTAGATATACAATCACCATAAAAAAAATGACAATTTGATTTGGCATCACTATGACTATACAAGGAATTATCGATCCCTTGTTGCGGAATGACTATGACCTATAATCAATGTGAAAAATAGCAGAGAAAGCATTGATGTGTGTTTAGCCCCATGGGCATATGCAGCCATTAATTTCAGAATTTCAAAAGGAGATCCAAGATGCAATATCTATAGAGAGACAGGCAGAATCATTAAGAGAAGGCAATTCAGATGATGTCAAATTCATTCTTCCGTGAACTTGGGTTCGATGGATCTCGGTGGAGCTGAGAGTTACTTGTCTATTGATGATTTAATTACGCAGCCAACAGCAAGATAGATCTCTCTTGTAAACAAAATCAAGTTTTCGTTTTTCCTTTTCCTCTCACCTAACCACACCATATAGACAAAGTCCCATTTTAAATCAATGATAAAATGTAAAAACATAATGAGAAATGAGCATGCAACATATTCATAGAAATATTTGCAATTGTTGAAAACCAGCCAACTATTTTTGAATAATAAAATGGAACCACAAAGGCACTTACCAATCTTCTAGTTTTTCCTTTGTCAATGAACTCACGTAAGAGCTTGGTGGTGGCCGACCCCACCTGCGAGTCTGTTGGCGCTTGCAATATTCCCTCTCCCATGCAGTGGTCAAGTAGGATGAAGCTTATCCTCTTGCACATCGAGAACCCTACCTCCTGGCACACCACCATTTCCACCTTCCTCAAGACGCCTTCCTTAGGCACCTCTGTCACCGCCTCCTTCGACCTCGGAGGCCCCTGCCGCCAAAGGGGATGGCGTCGATTTTCTAGAAGAGATGAAGCACGCTTGCAAAACCTCCCAACCAAAGATGAAGGTCCGCACCAATGAGGGTGGAGACCAATGACAGAGATAGGGCCTCCACCATTCTTTCTTATAGAAAAACCTACGACTTTGAGCTCACATTTTCGGAAAGCTCCTCCAAGAGCATTTGTGGATTTGGAGCACCACCATGTTTTCGGAGAGCTACGACCGTTTGTGGATTTGGAACACTTACAACTAGGGTTTTCGTGAGTCCAAGGTCAGCACTAAAAGAGCTTGTTGTGTCGAGAAGGTTCAGTTGCGTGTATGAAAAAATTTCCTTCACTTTTACATCGGTCAGATGTAAACCCGATGTAGAATATAATTTTGTGATTCCATTTCTACATCGGTCAGTGACAAAACTGATGTAGAATTTTTCAACAAAAATAATGTAAATATGCTTACATCTTTTATTTATTTACAAAACTATCACCATGTTTCTTATTTACATTGTTTCTATTGGAATCGATGTAGATATAGCGATGTTAAACAGTGTTTTTCTAGTAGTGCATGCATGTGGCGCCAGTCACATGTCTCATAATCACATATCACGTGTTATGTTGCCGAAGCAACATATTTGGAATAGTCTAGGAGTACATGCCAGCTCAACCGTGCACTCTCAAGTATAAGAATGTACTGCTAGGGTCTCGTCGAGATAGCGAAGTCGCACAAGATACATCTCATGCACACAAACGGATAGAATTGGGCCTTCCAAACCGCACTATCCCCTAGGACTCCTCCAAGATGTTTTGTACTTGAAGGGCCTTCCCTAACAATGTACTACATATCGTACCCCGTCACATAAATGCATATGATGCATGTCACACATTCACAAACTCATGGACTCAACATTTTACTTGTCAAGGACTTTCATGTCTCATGTCACTTGTTCACATTTCACATTTCTCATAATCATACTCATAAGATCATCATTTGAAGATTATTGTCCTTATCATGCTTATAAAACACATCACTTACGTTAGCATAGTAATAAGTTAATTCCCACACAATTTGCACCTTCAAACAATACATAAAAAATGTAAAACATCATCGGGATCATGCCTGGCATGCCCCAACTTGCGCCTGGCGAATTAAATACCGCGCCTAAAGTGGAGAAATCCCCTCGACAAAGCTTTCCTACGCTCGGCTTAAACATTGCGTCTGACACTAAGAACTACGATCGGTGCCCCAAAGCGAACCTGCATTACTTAATTTTCCACCCATCTACAACACTTGGCTATATTCAGTTCAACTGTTACAAGTACATAGTCTGTCACTCTGTTTAAGAACCTCAGATAAGCAATTCTCCATGGTTTCCAAAGTATTATTGGCCCTAATAATCCCCAAAAGCCTGCAAAGAATCCTAACCCCAAACTCATGTATAATGCTTCATTGAAAACTGATTTATCTTCTTCACCATGGACTGCTGGTTCTTCAGGCTTTGCTGTTGTCTTGTCTCCAAGGCAGCTTTTGTTGAGTGGTTTACCGCAAAGATCAAGATTTCCTTCAAACCAAGAGGCATCAAATGTTTCCAAATGTCCTTCCCATGGGATTCTTCCACTGAGATCATTGTTGGATAAGTCTAACACACCAAGCCTATCAATTTTGGAAAGATTAAATGGAATTTTGCCAGAGAATTTGTTTCTTGACAAGTCCAGAAATTCTAGCCAACTTAAATTCTCGATCTCAGTAGGAATTTCTCCATCTAATTTGTTTCTTGATAGATTCAAAGAAACCAATCCAACTAAATATCCAATCTCTTTTGGTATTGCACCCGTTAAATCATTACTTGAGAGATCAATGCTTTTTAAAAGAAACTCGGGATTCCAAAACACATAATCCTGACCTTTCCACGTGAATAACACGAGAGTAAATCGCTTCTTCAGAAGTGTTCCAGTAAACCTATGTTATTTGAGCCAAATTCATTTCTTGGACCTTTCAAGGAATAATTTGACTGGAAGAATCCCTACATGTCTGGGGAATTTTACTGCAATGATGGAAAGGGAAAGACGGCAAATCAAGGCCTTTCTTGCACAGAGAATAATTTTTCATCTTGAAATTCCTCATTTAGTGCACTTGCAATTATGGTCACCTCTTCATTTTCTAGCCTTGACAGATGATCTGCAATGTGGTTTTCACAACCCTTCTTATCTTTTATCTCTAAATCAAATTCCTGTAACAGTAGAATCCATTTTATCAACCTTGGTTTGGAATCAGATTTAGTTAACAAATATTTAATAGTTGCATGGTCAGTGAACACAGTAATTTTGAACCAATCAAATGAGAACGAAATTTCTCAAGTGCATACACTATTGCAAATAATTCTTTTTCTGTGGTTGCATAATTCATTTGAGTTTCATTCAAAACTTTACTTGCATAGTGTATGACATGAAAAATATTGTTTTCCCTTTGCCCCAGAACAACACCTACTGCATACTCACTAGCATCACACATTAGCTCAAAATCAAAGTTCCAATCAGGGCTAGTGATTATGGGTGCTGAGCACAATTTTTGTTTTAAGAGTGAAAAAGCAGACAAGCATTTGTCATCAAATTGAAATTTAACATCCTTCACAAGGAGATTGCTAAGCGGTTTAGCAATCTTTGAAAAATCTTGAATGAACCGCCTATAGAATCCAGCATGTCCAAGAAAGCTTCTGACCCCTTTCACATTTGTTGGTGGAGGAAGCTTAGAGATGACCTCCACTTTAGCTGGATCTACCTCAATACCTTTCCCAGAAATTTTGTGGCCAAGCACTATTCCTTCAGTCACCATGAAATGGAATTTTTCCCAGTTAAGAACCAGATTTGTTTTCAACACACCGCCTCAGTACAATGTTGAGATTTTCCAGACATCTATCAAATGATGCTCCAAACACATAAAAATCATCCATGAAAATCTCTATACATTTCTCAACAAGATCAGAAAATATGGCTAACATGCACCTTTGAAATGTGGCTGGGGCGGTAAATAATCCGAATGGCATTTTTCTATATGCAAAAACACCAAAAGGACATGTGAATGCTATTTTTTCCTGATCCTTCGGGTCCACTACTATCTGATTATACCCAGAATAACCATCCAAGAAGCAGTAGTAGGCTTGACCCAACAACCTTTCTAACATCTGGTCCATGAAGGGTAATGGGAAGTGATCCTTCCTTGTGTCTGGTTCAGCTTTCGATAATCAATACACATCCGCCAGCCAGTGACTGTCCTTGTAGGAATCAATTCATTCTTGTCATTCATCACCCCTATACTGCCTCCCTTCTTAAGAACCCCCTGAACAGGACTAACCCATGCACTGTCGGAGATAGGGTAAATCATGCCAGCTTGAAGCAACTTAATCACCTCTTTTCTGACCACCTCCTTCATTGTTGGATTGAGGCGCCTTTGAGGTTGTGCTACAAGCCTATAATCTTGTTCCATCAAAATTCGGTGCATACAATATGAAGGACTAATACCTTTTAGATCAGACAAAGTCCACCCAATAGCTCCTTCATTTGCCTTAAGAACTTTAACTAACTTCTTTTCCTCCTCCATAGATAAGGAATTGTTGATTATAACTGGTTTTTCCACCATTTGCTTCTAGAAACACA